TTTTTTTTTTTTTTTTTTTTTTTTTTGCAATTGTGTTTGCATTTACATTTGCATTTGCAAGGAAATGCAATTGCATTTCTTTCACTGACATTCCAGGAAAAAAAATATGAGAAAAAAATATATGAGGACTTGCAAACAATCCACAATGAATAATTCACTCGGTGAGTTCAGAGGCTGTTTCTCAACATGGAATCATCATGAGCAGATTATAATTTCCTTGAATGTATTCATGATTAGACTGAACTTTCACAAATTGTTTTCCTTTGTGTATTAACTGTCAGAAATTAACTGCATGCCTGATTCTTGATATTTAGCATTTGAGGTGTGTTAATTTGTGGTGATAGGTTTCTATTGAACGCTTCTTCTGCGTGTCTCCTAAGGGATTGGCTGAAAGACAGCATGGAGAAAAGTTTATTAAGCAAATATGGGATTTTGTGAATTTTTATTTTTTTTTTTCTCAGAAGAAAATAGTTTCCTCTTAACTAGAGCGCAACCAGACATCTGTTAGGCAAAATAAAGATTGCTTTCTATTAGAAATAAGGAAAAGTTGACCAAGTGCTGAGGAGCCATCAGGGCAAATAAAGAAATCTGCCGGCAACTGCAGACACGCAAGGAGCGGTGCACTTGAGCTGGACAGACTTAATCTGTGGCCACAAAGGATGGTGGTACCTTCTGCTTACACAGAACATTTTAAACATGACATAAATTAACAGGAATTACTCTGTGAACTAAGGTGGGCTACTCTTCCATACCCATTTTTGTCTCATCACAACCAGCGCTGGCTCTGAGTTTGATGAGAATTAACTCCGTCCTCGCACTAACATTTCCATTGCTAATTTAGAAAAGCAGAAGTAAAGTTCTGCTGTGACAATAGCAGTCAGTGTGAGGTTAATGGTTGGACTAGATGATCTTCAAGGTGTTTTCCAACCTAGATGATTCTGTAATATTTATATTAGTGTGTTTGTGTTTGAAATGTACATCTTCCTTTGCATCTCCTCCTATGGTCAAACTTCCTTCAGTCCTAACAAATAGTTCTTAATTCCATTACGTTTTATTTACAGTACTAACATTTTAAAATTATATGCCAAAAATAATTTGGTCTTACCTTCCGCTTGGGATTCAGCTGAATTCTCTTCAACCTGTGTCAAGCTGAATTCTACCCTGATAATACAGTTTGTGTTTATCATATACTATGAAATAAATGTTGCCTTTTAAAAGGCATTGCTGCTGTTGTCTACATCATTTCTTTTCCCTTGCTGAAGATCACATGCATTTATTTTCCTTCTTCACTGTGAATTACTTTGGTTCTACTGTTATTACTTTCCTCATGTGTGGAAAAACTCAGTAAAATTGCTGAAACATTTCAGAAACAGAAACACTGGGGAACAAAAGAGTCGCAGTTTCTGAAGTGCCAGCTCCGTTGCAGAGCAGTCGTGATCTCTGTCGTGATCTGATCCATAATTTTGCTGCGTGGGTGGGTGTGATTTTATTTTTTTTTTTTTTTCCCCTTTGTGTTCCCTGACTCACAGAGCGTTTGATAAAGTGTGTGGAGAAAGAAGAGGAGCGAGGGTGCAGACTAGCCATTAAAGCTGTACTCGTAGTGCAATGAAATGCAAGTTCTTCTGTAAGATATATATCCTGAGCAAAGCAGAAGGGCTAAGACTCAGCCATCCACAAACCCACATACATATACACCAGATTGTGAAAGTCTTCTTGTGATAAATGTGTTGTGGGCAGCAGCAGCTACTAGAGCTGGGGAGTCCAGAGGGAGAAAACTGTCTTTAACATCCTCTAGTGGATATATCAACTCTTTTCTTAGCTCTTTCTTACCACATTTAATCAATTTAGATTATAGCTTATCATAGCCCAATAGCAGCATGACGGTGTGATAATGGGAAACAGCCGATATAAGTATGATTTTTTTTTTCCTGAACAAACTTCAAACTCCTAGAAAATGCAACACAATAATATAATATTGTAATATAAGAATAATATATAAGTGTGTATAATAATGTATAATAATACATGATTCTCTATAAAAATCTTATGTTTGTTTTTTTTTTTTTCTAAATCTACTGCCTTAAAATATATACTTATAATATTATTGCATGTGTATTTATATATATATATATATATATATGTATATATAACTACAGATAGGGAAAAAAACCCCAACCACACAACAGAGGAATTTGATTAAAACTGAAAAGCCAAAAGAAATGGTCTAAAAGAGTAAAGCTCTATTATCTTGATGCAGGAAAAAAGAAGATGGGATGGAATATTTATAAATTCTTTACAGGCTCTAGATAATGGAGTTATTCTGCACAGAATAAGGGCTAAATGGAGAAAGGTGAAGTGAGACAGAAGACAGTTTAATTGAATGTACGTCTGTCAAAATTCTTCCTTAAATGATTGATGAAAAATGACTGGCTAAACCTCTTAATTAATCATTTCTGTAGGAAAAAATAGTGTGTCAGGCACAATTTCAGGTTTTATAGTACTTGATGGATTTGCTTTAATTGTAAATTTATTGCCAAAATAAACCGTCAAGGTAGATGAACTGGAAATAATCCATGTATAGCAAACTAGAGGGTATGACTAAGGTACCTCTAATGCGCTTGCTCTCTTTCCTGGGTACGTACAATACCTGTTGGGCAATAACAATCCCAGAAGGAAAATATAATCCATAAAATACCTTCAGATTATGTAAACATTATGCATCGGATCAAACGTACTCTTGAAGTAAATCCATTGTCTTTGATGGGAGTTTCATCACAGACAAGTTCAGCGGAGTGTATTTAATTTCTGCTGCAAATGTTGAACTGGGGAAGGGTGTTTAAGCTCGTAATTGGCACACCAATGTATGGAAGGGAAGTAAATTTGCTATTAATTAGGAGCTAAATATTGACATATAGTGAGATTAAATTATATCAAAACATTAAATGTAACTTGCTTAATGGATAATTAAGTACCCAAATACCGTGAATATGGAATTGTAATTATATGCTTGGATTCTGAACTAATTATATGGCAACAAAAATTAAGATTTTTTCCAAACACTCGGGACTGGCCTCTCTTTACCTTGACAAAAGTCAATGACAAAATAGAATTCACCATCGTAGTGTTTTGTCCCAACTATTACAACTTGTCACAAGGTTGCTTGATGTCAGGCATGCAATATCAAATTCTCAGAAACAAAACCACAGCGCATTTGGTAAGAGTCACTTTATTGCACAGAAAGATGTTCCTCAAAGTGTGAGCACAGGGAAAGAAACCTCTGAGGAAAGTAGAAAGGCAGATTATAATTTTTTTACTACAAGACTCAGACCTTCACAAGAAGTAACACTAGAATTTGAGGCAAAATAAGGACTTTAAAAACGCTCAGACGCGTTGATGGCAGAGAAAAGAGAAGGGAATATGAATTATTAGTGCATCTCACTGGTTATCCTGTTCGACATCATGCTTCCAGAATTCCTCCTACTTCAGAGTAATCAACCCTCACAGAACATACTGATTTCAATTCCTATCTCAGTTTGATAAGATTCATTAAAAGCTGAAAAATGAGCAGGCTGGTTGGCCTGGAATCAAGAGATGGAAATAAGTTCATACAACTGGGAGGAAGAACAGTTTTTAAATGAAAACACTTTAATACATAGAAAACCAATTATATAGGTTTTGACCTGTGGTTTGGTTTGTTGTGGTTTTGTGGCTTTTTTTTTTTTTTTTGGTTGTGGTTTGTTTTGTTTTGTTTTGTTTTCCCTCAGAAACGCTATTAAGATATTTTATAGGGATTTTACAGTGGTTAAAGGTTCTAATGTACTTCTGCTCTTGTTCAGGGTATATTCTATTCACAGTAGCTCAAAAGTTATGCCATTAGGGCGTAACTATGTATAAGTTGTTAGTATAATCACATTAATAGCTTAAGTTCTGCCCATGTGGCTAAAGTAACAAAAAAAAACCCTTGTAATTTAATTATGTTTTTATAGTGATAACTGTTTTACTGGATATCAAAGTAATACTAAGTTAAAACATATATGCTGTTATCACATTCACAGGTCTATGTAAATATCTGTTGTAAAATACCTTTTAATAACTACTTTAAAATACTTCTACTTACAGATGATGATTATGCATGTAAAATAAATAAATATGCATGCATGCATGCATGTGAGGACGAAAATAATTAGGATAAATAAAATAACTTACACAACAAAGGTAGATATAAGATTATGGCTGGTCCATTAAAGTCTATGAATATCTGCCCATTGACTTCAATTAGCTTTGAATTAGGCACTTAAACAGCAGGAAGCAAATGGAATATTCTATTTGATTATCCTGGTCAATGAGCAATGAATGCATAAAAATAACCATCCAAGGGCCTCTCTGAACTAAGCGAAAGAATGGCAACTTTTCACAATTTTATTCTTACTTATTTTTTTTTGTTCTGCCCAAAGCGTTCTGGGTATTTCCGAGGTAAAGAAGAACCAACCTCTCTCTACATCTGCAATGGATTTAGCTGCAGTTCCAAGACTGCAGAAGACCAGGGGTTGACAAGAACACATGAATATTATTGAAAATTTATTTTAAGCAGATTTTTTTTTTTCTTTTGATGGTTTCAAATCATTTTTCACTACAGAGCCCAGAAGATGTGCTGTGTACCCATGAACACAGCCAGCAGCCAGGTCAAATGGAAATGAAGACACAGTGACCTTAACCAAACCCTGGGGGAGTCGCCACCACCTTCAGCAGTGGTTAACGGTGGCGGGTGAGTGCCCACGGTGCTGCGGGCGAGAGGGGACCCAAATAGAACCCTGCACAAATAATGTGTAATGGGCTGAGACAGACACATTTGGGGTGATAAATGTATCAGTTTAGCAAATTTATTAAAAGTAGCTCGGCGGTTAATTGGGGAATTCAGAAGCCTGCCAAGTCTTGTGGTCCTGCCATGAATCTCCCCCCACTCTCTCCAGGGCCAGCTGCAGCCTAGGTGGTATCTCACATGGTTTCTTTGACCAGCCACTTTGCTGTGCTCGAGGCCAGTGGCTGATGCCAAGAGGTTAATTCACCCAGATGCATCCCTGATGACATCACGAGCATCAGCAGTCGCTGCCCCAGAACCGCCATCCGCACAAAGCAGGACCTTTCCAGCTGATGGAGAGGATCTTCCGCTGTCCTCTGGGCTTCTTAGCCTGTATTTCTTTTCCAACTAATTCTTTGCTTATTTCTCTGCCTCTTACCCTCTCCTGAAGTGGTTTTGTATTTATCCCTAACTTTACCAAGCTGTTTGGGCATCTCTGGATCTGAAAAATACGACCAAATACTTTGTGCCAGTTGCTGTAGGTCTCTAGCAGGAGGGAAAATGCTAATTACTGCATGCAAACCATATTTTTTGGGCCTTTCTTAATTTAAAGTTGATCCAAAGCATATAATTTTTAGTCACGGTTTAGAGAAATATGGTTTTGATGCCAGCTGGAAGGAGCAATATTGGAGGACCTCTGTGTTTTCCACTGTGGAATATACCTGAGAGTATAAAAAATGGCAGGCACTCCCAAGGAACATTTAAACCTAAATAAAATAGAAAAGAACCTTGCTTGTCATCCACAAAAAAAAATTAAATAATTAAAAAAAAAATCAGCATTATATCTAATTTCACCAAAGGGAAAGTGTACAAAACAGTAATTAAACTGCAAAAGAAACATGATTACTAAAATTGAAGATATTGTACAGTTTTTTGACACAATTGCAAGAACAAATGAGACAAGACGTCTTGCTACATCTAAAATATTAATTACAAAACACTGACAACTGGAAACTTTTAAATTAAATCATGCCTCAAAGACTGTAGTATAGGAAATTACACAATGTTAATTTGAGGGTTTTACTATTTTTTTTTATTACTGTTAAGGTAACAAGTAGATTGAAAATAAAAGGTCAGTGGAAGGTGAGATAGTTGCTGGGGTAGATGAGGAAAAAGACTTCGAAAGCCCAGAGCTGTAGGACTAGCAGCCTACCTCTGGGAGACAACACCAAACGAAAACCAATATGATGAGGCGCTTTTGACCATCAGTCTTACAAAACACCCAGGTGAGCACTCCCTGCCCCTACTGATGCCCACAGACAAGGATGCTCGAGCAGGGGGAGCGAGCAGGAGGAGCTGTGGGCTGGGATTAACCTGAGTTGGGATTCTCCAGCTACAGAAGTTGGAGGATTTTTGCATCTTGCTAGATTCAGCTATGTTGGCCTGATTACTTATGCAGAGTAAGGGATACTATAAGTAGAGAAAATGTAGGTAAGGAAGTGTAATATCACCTCAGAAACACGGGCCACCAGGATGAAGAATAGTGACTAACATCCAGACCTGAACCAACACCTGCAGTGTCTGAGGAACGATGGGCCAGCTGGAGTAAAATATCATTGATGTATTTTACAATAACAATTTGCATATTGATTAAAACCCATAATTTAGATTGCCTCAGGTTTGCTCTGAGCTGTTATACTGATACCTGGCAGCCTCTTAACTGTAGATGGAGGAAAATTACTTGTACTGTCAATAGCTGTTTGCCTATATTAAAATAATTAGCAATCAGAGTGTACTCCACTGCCGTGCGTGCAGGGAGTCTAATTAACTTTCTCCTTTGGATTTATACATCTACTAACAAATAAATGGAAAGCCATCCCATGTCCTCCGTCATGGGAATGTGTCTGTCTTTATTTTGGAAAGGCAAATACCAGTTCAAACAAGGACAGGCGTTATGTCAGAGATTTGTCACTGTATCTTTTCCCTGCATCACACCATTATGCCGCCTTATTCCACACAGAGCATTATTCAACGTGTTACACTGAGTGATGCACTGCAATGACAAAGTGTTAATCTCCATTAAAAATTTAAAAGACATACAGCTATTTTCATCTGGGGAAGCTGCTGCTGATTCATCCGCGGCCCTTCCCAGCTGAGGCGAAGTGGCAGCCATATCTCCTAAGCTATTACAAATTACCAGAGAACCATCCTTCAGTTCAACTTCCAGCAGCAGAAGCGGGAAAGTAAAATTGCTTCATAAAAAGATGAAGCCCAGTGTTCTTTTTGCTACTTAATACATTACCGAAATGAAATGGCATGACTTTCCTATTATCTGCAGATGACTGTCAGAGGTTTAAATACATTGGCCACCATTAGGATCTCAGACATTATTTCACTCTGAAACTACATCAACATGCCTATGTCTTTCTGTGGTGGAGGCTTCCAACTGATTCTGTAGCAGTTTGTGCTCATCTGTTTCAGGGTTTGGGGAAGCCAGTGTCTCGCAGAGAGCGAAGCCAGCGTTACAAATGGACATTGAGGGATGAGAATATGAAAATGTCATCCATGGCAATGACTGGCGATACCTCCTTGGAAGAGGTGCCCATAGCAATCTAATTCAAACTGAGCTTTATTTCGAATTACCTTGGAGACCAGGCTTAGGTTGTTGACAGTGTAACATAGGGATGCAAAGGCATCACAACCTGGTGGGCTTGGGTGGATTGCAAAGAAATGTTGGTTTCATCTGCCCCACAACGTGTTGATTACATTGGCCTGGCACCTTTTCCCTCACACAATTACTGAAACTTTTCTGATGGCATTGGGTTCATACTCATACAGCCTTTAACAATAGTCTTTAAATTTCACTGAGAAATTTAATCCATTCTTTATATACACTTAATGGCAATATGAATAAAAGGCAGAGAGAGAAGAGGATGATGAGAGAAAGCTCAAGTAGGATAGTATAGATGCTCGTGACTATACTGATAGTGACATTTACATCTTTTATTCTTTTTAAGAAAGATGCATTTTAACTTTAGAAATACAGAGTCTTCTCATGCTTTTATATTTGTCACAGCATGGTGACCACAGACAGATCACAAGATCTATATAAATGTGGGAACTGTAGGGTAAAGCAAAAAAAAGTCGTGGCTAAACCCCAAGGAAACAGGTAGCCTGAAGGAACCTAGTCCAAAGGAATTATGGATTTGCTGACACACACAAAAAAACCCAAACACCAAAACCATGAACTAATATAGAAAAAGGGAGGGTAAAAATCAAGTCTGGAAACAAAAGAGCCCATAGAAAATAAAAATGGAAAAGTTTTTATCATCTTAATTGGGAAATCTTATGAGAAATGATAAGGAACGTTACCATGAGTAGTGTCTGAAAACCGTATAAACTGGTAAAAATATTTGATGGATGACACCAATTATATTGAAGAGATATCATCTTCTTAATCAAAAACAGAACAAACAAAACAAAACAGTGAATTTATGTTACAGATTTGAGCACTCAGACATTCTCATGCAGTTATAAATAGGCTGTTTAAATAGGGTAGTTTGTGGGACACATAATTCCAGCTGACGTGAGGAATTGTTGAAATGCGAGAGGAAACCTGTCTGTGCTGCTCGTTAGAGTAACATCTTGTGACCGTACGCAGCAACAATTCTCCTACAGATCCACTCTCCTGTTGCTAAGAACTCAGCACTGGATTTTTGACCACGATGGGGAGTGCCATAGCTGATTACAAATGATGGTAAGCAAATATTAATCCACTGTCACAATAAATTTAAGTGTAAAGAATCTAAGGATGACTATGAAATAAGTACCTCGTGCAGGTGAAGCATGGAAAATATTTTTCAAACATTATTTTAAAAAGTATGCAAAAACAAATTAAAAAAAAAACAACAAACAAAAAAAAAAAAAACCAAACACAGCAACACAGCATCCTAATTCCTTTTATAAAACTTGTTCTTAAAAAATCATAGAAATCCTGTATCTTAACTTCCTCTCGTGAGAAGGGGAAGATCATGTTCTGGGCTGTGCCAACACTGAACTGAGCAAATACTCTGTGACTCCATTAGCACGATGACAAGTCCAACTATTATAATAATTAGTTTAGGCATAACACTAGCATAGCTGCATGGCTTTGGGTTGTCTTGATGCACGGGCCAAGTCCTGTGAGAACGCACCGTACATCTAAATACAACACACAAACATTCCCAGAGACAACGGGCTCTTTGTGCCATTGTTTAATACACCAGTGGTAATGTAACATCCTCCAGCATCTACAATGTGTGTTTGTGGGTGGATGTGTGGTTCTTACACCCCTTCATAGAAATGAAACACGTGTCCTTATGGATTTACAGACCTCTTTGCTAAATTCTGTTTGTGTTTCCATACTGCCTAGCAATGCAGCTTGCAGGTGCTGCTGTAATACAGAAATTGAATAAATAGGAGAATAACGGTATTAAGAATCAAGGACTTTTACTTTTGATTCACGTCGTATTTAAATTGTAGTTGCTTTTCTATGCAAATGCTACTGCTGGGAAGAGAGTTATGGGAAAGCCTAGAAAAATCTATGCCATTAATTTTAACTCTATATCCATTCTCAGCCATGAAAATAACAAGCAAATATATTTTATTTGTAAATGAACAACGAGATGCATGCTTATACATAAATTTTAAAAATTTCGGTCAAACGTAAAAGTTGCTGTTGTTTGGAAATGTGGCAGAGAGGAGTTTTGCCGCAGATGCAAGGAAAGCTGAGACTGTAAACAGGAACAGATCCCTGGCACTGGTACATCCTCTCTGGGATCAGCTGTGGGACCAGGTGTGTGCATCACTGGGGGGCTACAAAAGGGGGCTGTGGGACTCTGGCCGAGAGATTTTGTGGTGCTGATCAAGCTGATGCCCTGAAGTAAACTAGAGGATGAGGGTAAGAAAATGGTGCATGGGAGAGCTGCTGGGGGCTGGAGCACCGCGCGGGTGGGGCGCTCGGAGCATCCTCTGCTCTCAGGGGTTATCATAGAGGGCTAAAGGAAAGAAACTTTTATACTGAGACACAGGGCTACAAGGGAAAGCACAGATTCTTCTTATGGCTCTGAAAATTTACTAAGGAATGAAAGCAGACTTTCACTTTTTCAAAGATTCTATTTTGTGTGGTTTCATATCTATCACAAAGCCTGCTTCAAACTCGTTTTCTTTTCCTGTAAACAGTTATTTGCAGTCTGTATGGCTCAGTTCATCCTTCTGCTTTACTTCACCATACCGCTAATTTTCAGGGAAATGAAAACCAAAACCTTACAAATCAGTTCTTAATAATAATGAGCTTGACCTTATGAGAAGTTTTTAAAATAAAATAAGCTGTGTTATCTGGCTGAGTAACGAGTGGGCAGAGTTGCAAATGGGTATAACTTAGAGTTTAGCCAGCACTTGATACATCCCATGAAAATTTACTGGAATGTGTAACCTAAATTAGACCAGGTGTAACCTGTTTTCTGAGAAGAAGCTAAATGCAAGCAGCAGGAAGCACCGAACCCCGCTGTGCTGGGAGGTGTCCCATAGGCATGGCAGGTTTGTGTTCAAACTCCTGCACCTCCTGCCTTGCCTCAGAGGGGGAGTGAATGTCAGCCTGTTGAATTTCTAGCCTGATCTTAAACTAGAGAATTCCTGCCCCAAACCAGGGACTTATGTGAGAGACTCAGGGAGATGAGATGTGTGGGAAGAAAACACAAAGGGACACCCCTCTGACATAAATAATTTACAACATGCTCTGAATGGGTGGTATGGACCTGAGGAAGAGAAGTGCTGAGAGCGTGGCTCAGAGAAACCTAATCTGAAGTTTGGATTTGTTTTAAAAAAATAATCCCAATGCTACCCGCAAAGCCCTTGTTTACAGAGGACATGAGAGAAGAAAGAAAAATATTTTCTCTCTAAAGCATCAGCCTCAGGTGCGTCTTGATATGGTGGTGTTTTTTCTAGGTGTAACAGGATGATAAATGAGTTGTTCTGAGGGTGTCCAGAGAAGGCAGAGTTCAGAAGAAAAGAGGGCTTGAAAGAACCGCTCAGGAAAGGCAAAAGGAGAGATGTTATTCCTCTGCTTTTCTTTTTTGTATACCCGTCCCCAGATGAGGTTGAAATGCAGATTTCTGGTACTGACCACGCACAACTGTTGCCCGGTTCTGTACTGCATCCCCCGACTACTGAACAGAAGAAATAAGGTTTGTGCTTTGATGACATTAATTGCCAAGTATTCATGTGACCTTGTATAGGAAGTGTTTGAAGGAGTAAAGAAATAGATGATAGAAGTCTTTCCCAACTATGCACCCATTGTTTTTCCAACTGCTGAAATCAACTTTTATTTTCCTTAACAAGGGTTTGCCTGACAGCAAGAGAAACAGAAGAATCTTATAAAAGCACTTGGAGAGTTGCTTGCTGAGTCATGTGACAACAATTGGTGTGTGAAATGGAGCTAATTAATATTCTTATTATGATAATCACCTTCAACATTTCCCTTTATTTTTCCAGGCTTTTTCCTTAGCTATCTCTCTCTCAGATAAGAAATTTATTATCAGTGTATCAGTCCAGATACATTTCAGGGAAAGAATGACAAGAATTAATTCTGGTCTATCTGAAGAGAGTACAATTAGGAGGCCTTCATGATGAGACTAAATCTCCAGATTGTTGAATTAGATATCCCTCAATTCAGACTGCTCTGAAAACCTAATACTCCATTCGTGTTCCAAAATGCACTTGGAAATAATCACCGCTGTAAGGGAGGAGTCGGGGGAAGCTACTTGTAAATGGTCTGAGACAAAACAATCGTTTCATAATCATAGAAGTTTATTGGCAAAGTTAAAGTTAATATATATATATATATATATAAACTTTTTGTAAAGGTATTTCACTCTACCAATAAAATTAAATTTTAGAAATAATATTTTTAAACTGTTATCTTTTGGAAGTTCTCTCTCAACCCTCATTTTTCACTCTTTGCTGTTTAGACCTGTGATCGGAAAGAATAATTATCATAGGTGATAATGCCTGATTTTTGTTTCACTGGGAAATCATTTGGGCAGCATTATCCAAGCTATGACACATCGATGGCTTGTCATGTATTTTGTAAAGAAGTCAGGGGGAAGGAGCAAAAAAGCAACTTCAGATGTGAGTAATGCTTTCCACAAATACAAATGAATGACTTCCCACTTGTCTTTGAGTCTCTGTAACTGGATGAATATTTTATTCCCCGTCCTCCTGAGATTATGACTGTAATATATACAGAGCCTTGAAACATGTCAGTATCCAAAATTTGGGAAGAGGAAATACAACAAACTAAATACTCCCAGCGAGACTTTTCACCTATGTCAAAGAATAGGAGTGCAAGTTAAAAGGAGGTGGTCATGTCTTGGTGTCCTTTCCCTTCCTAGTCACTTCTTATCTTTGGAAAAAATGGTCAACAAATAATTCCATCTACACTGCTTGGAGTGGTTTCTAAGACCTAAGCACAAGGCGTTCATTTCTGAAGCTGTTCTTAGTAAATAACTCTGAAAGCTGATTGTTTAGTAGGCTTGGAGTTAACCTAGGAGCAACAGAGAGACAGGCAGGTCGTAGCAGGTGGGTGTTCACTTTTGCCCTGCGTAGCTTTGCTTAAAGTCTAATCCTCTGGACTGAAGCTGGAGGATTTCGGTGAGGTCTGTCCCACGAGGTGTGAGACGCTGCCCCAGCTAGCTGAAAAGCTGCCGAGTGAAGTCCCAAGCCTGGTGTGTATTAAAAGACGACAAAACCAAAATGCCTAGACGTTCGACTTAGTCTCCACTGAGAGCCCCTCGCTGCACCACGGCCTTTCTCTTCTGCAGGTATGAGCCAACTTCCTCATTCACACTCTTGCGTTGTCTCATGGTTTCACGTCCTCTTGTTCAGCTTCAAGTTCCAGATTCAGGCAACCCCTAAAATGCAACAAGCAGCTCGCAGGCTCTGCTGGGCTCCCTCAGCTGATGCCGCTACGGAGCTGAAATATTTTCCTTGGCTTTCAAGCAACAAACCGGCAAACATTCATTAGTTTCTGGTGAAATTGTCAGTTCCAAAATAGAAAAAAGAGGAATCCACACAGGGAAGAAAAAAAAAAAGCTACGGCAAAACTTTCACCTGTGCTGTCCACACTTAAACTCTAGAGGCAGAATGAAAAATTTATTCCAAGACTGTCAGGTTTTTTTTTACTTTAAGGTTAGGATTTGCTTTCAATTAATCTATTTACCTATTATAACCTTGAAGCTCATACCAGAACTTAAAATGTTTCAAGGCACAAATAACCTTTTCCGCAACTGACAAGCTATAGGGGGAAAAAAAAGGTATTTTTATGTAACCTAGCGCAGAATTTATGTCTATGATCAAATATGCCCCTATAAAGTTTACTTTCTTTTCCCAAACCAAAGCCCCAGTATTTGGATTGCTTTCACTGAACCAGAAGTTACCTCTTAAATTATGCAATCAAGGGACTTCCCCTTAAATAATGGGAAGTGAAGACTTTCTGAGGATGTTAGATTGCACAGCAAAGATTTTTCTATCATTTCATAAAACTGATCATTGGTTTGTAGTTCAAAGAAGGAAATATGAACCGGGTACTCGCTCAGAAAGAGGGGAGAAAGCTTTATTGCCAAACTGAACATTTTTTTTAATGGCATGAACTTTTCTTTTTTTTTTTTTTTTCTCTCTATTTTTTTAGTGAAATGTTTGCATGAAGTAAACTTCAGGAGTTATTTTTGTTACATATACTGATTAAATCTAGCAATAATTTTAGATTAATTTTAGCATTAATCCAGCACTAATCTTAACAATTAATACTTCTATTTATTATTTTTTAAATAGTGTGCAAATATTTAAATATTTATATTAATATATTAACTGTAGGACTGGTAAGAAAAAGGGACAGAGGGGGTGGCTGGCCAAAATAACATAACCAGTTAAATCCAAATCTCACACTTTATCTGTGGGTAAATGCTACTTAAGGCAAAGGCACCATCCGAAGTGAATCTCCCTAGGGTATGGTGGAACGATGACATGGTTAAGGATCTCGCTGACTAGCTGGGTTTGCTCCTGCTGCTGAGACAGCTCCTCCCTGGATTAACCACCCATCTAGATCTGCTTTGTGGTGCAGAAATGGTGCGAAAACTGCCAGGATCCTCACTGGTAAGCAAGTAATGAATGGGGAATAGAAGTATTCCATATGCCATTAACCTAATTTGTGGGGAAGAGAATAAAAAGAATTTAAAAAAGGAGGAAAAAAAAAATATTTCTGAGATGCCTCAGAACAGAATAATGAAGTTGTTAGATGACAGATTTGCTGGAGATGTTTCTGTACAATTCCTGTAGCCTTCTACTCTCAACACGACTTTCATTCTTTAAATTTACCGAGAATTCACACTGGTTTAAGGAGTTATTTATATCCTTAATAAAAGGAATTCCTTTGCTCTTTTTATTCTATGTATTATTTATCCGCTATCTAATAATTCATCAAAGCTGGAAACTTCCAGCGTTGAAGGGAAATGGTCTAGTTTTTAAGACATTTTTTTTGTGATGCCTATTTTTAATTAAACATTCTCAAAGAGATTTTAAATCTAATTCTTCTGGGCCTGTATCAGGGAAAATACCCTATACTCCTCTTTACCCCATATGTCATACCCTATACTCTTTCCCTCCTTCCACGTATACACCTCGCCCCTGGGGGTAACTTGAATATGCTTTCATCTATTTTAATCAGACTGGTCCATAGTTGAGCACTCTGACTACAATATTTGATTCTGGATAAAATTAGCTTAAATAAGCCAAGTACTTGGAACACCAGCTTTTCCATTACTTAGAGTAGTTGCTAGTAGCTTTGGGCAGTGACAGGTGAATATTGTGAGATGTGGTGACTACTATGAAAAATTGAAAAAAAATCTTTTTAAAGAGATTTTTTTTCCTTTGTGGATTGGCTTTCGCCCGATTATTTGTAGGATCAAGCTGTCCTCTGAGAAATGTTTACAATAAGACTAAATTTGTCCATAAAGTATGGATTGAGCATTGGTGAAACTTGCAGAGTGTACAGTCTACCTAAGAAACTCACTAAATACAGGAAGATTTAGCCCAAAAGGAATTTAAGCTCATGAGAATAGAAAAAAATGTTTTAACGCTGTCAGTGCATAATTTACCACGGAAAGGGGGCAGATCCTAAGATCCCCAGCTATGCAATTAACACGGGTGGAAAAAAATCTGCCTCCACATGCATCTATGCAAGCATGGAAAAAAGAAAATTAAATCCAAACTCTGTAACCAGACAATAAATCTTACATTAGCATGGTGGGAACTATCACTCTGAAGCCTCAGTGAGCCAGAAAGAAAAAGCTTTAGCCTTTTCTATCATTTCCTAACCCACTTATTTTACAGCCCTCTGAGTGTTTCAAAGCTCTTGAGACAACACCAAGAATTTCTCCTGTTTTAGAGAATCATATTCATCCAATCAAGGAAGAGAAATGACATGACTGTGATTATGTGATTAATCACAGCTGACCAGCCAAGAGTCCATGCAGATCCGGAGTGCTGAACACTACAAGGATCAATAAGCAAAACACATCGGAGGGAGCAAATATCACATAATCCCAAATAACAAATGTAAAGGACTCGAGATCTGCTCATGAATATTGCATGAACCGAAGATGAAGCTAAGTTTGACAAATTATTATTTTTCCATTTCTGATAATAAGCATTTTCATTTTAGGTTGCATGAGATTTTTATCCTTGAACTGTAATAAAGTATTTCTGTAATAAGAAATTTTTGGGAATTAATTCATTCATAATGCATGAAAAAAGGAAAAAAAAATTACTTGCCTTTGAGTTTGAAATATAATTTCTGATTTCTTTTAGTAGATAATTCTTCAAAATCACCTCTCCATGTCATTGTATCCCTGTGTGGAGATTAAATCTAATTGTTCCGTTGTTGTAAATCCACGATTATGGTGTTAGTGAAAAGAAACATTCTAGACTTTTGCACTTTTAAAATTCCTTTTAGGTATATCCGGTTTCAGTGTTGTTCTCTACACTGCTTGGAGTTCGTAGGACAGGGCTTAGATCTATCTGTATTCCCATTTACTGCAACTTGTTAAATTAAGTACTACTGCCCTTTTTGACCTTAACAATTTACCAATACTCGAATTCTGGCAGGATTGATCTCTGCTGAAAAATATGTTTGCTTCGAAACTGATAGCATGTCA